AACATGCTTCTTAACACTCTAATAGTAATATGATAAAGGAAGTTCAATATACAATGAATAAGTCACAATCACATAACTTAAAGCAGAAAAGTAAGGACAATATATCACAGTTACAAAACTAGTAAGGTCTACTCCAAAAGTAGAAGTCCCATCGCTTAAGCTTACCCAATCCTGTTGCTTGAAACCTCTACCCTTCTTTAGAAGGGAGGATAATGATAAGTGGGTGCCCCACTTCGTAATGTCATCACACATACACACACATCTCCAGCACGTTTTGGGGTTTTCGATAGGTAGGTGCCTTGCAAGACACGACCCTCCCCTTATGCCCTTCTGGAGAGAGAGCATTACACTACCATTGGGTGACCTAATGCATAGTGCCCATATGGATCTGGGGGCCACGAACCTCCCAAATATTAACATTCACATCCTAACTCCCATTCTATAATGGGGAGTTAGGGAAAGATCTTAGCTGCCAGCACCATCATTGACATAGTATGTGCCCATTCACATATCACATAAGCAACACGGTACCATCATTAACACAGTAGGTATCTATTCATATATCACAAAAGCAGCATGGTACCATCATTCACAGAGTAGGTACCCATTCACATATCACATAAGCAGCACGGGACCATCATTCACATAGTAGGTACCCATTCATATATCACATAAGCAGCATGGTAACATCATTCACACAGTAGGTACCCATTCACATATAACATTAGCAACATAGTATCACATTATGAAAATATCAATATCTCATCATGATAGCAGCAATATCACATTTTGATAGTGGCATATCATATTTAACCAATATCATAATTACAGTACCGTAGTAATAGTAACATTATTTCAGTTAAGCCTTATAGCTCAATTTCCTGCTATCAACGGCAATGACAAAGTGCTCACTATTAGGGTCGTAACGTTTGGACCATTTAGAGTTCGAAGACAGTTCCAAAACAAATTTTGTACTAAAAACACCCATCTTTTAAATGGTGGTGTTTGAAGACAATTAGACCCTGTTTAGCCTCTTAAAGGTTCAAAGAGTTGAGGGTTTTCAAGCTGCACCTGGCTGTGTACAGTGGACAGCGACATACCCTTCTTCATACCGCTATAAGTCTCAAACCGTGAAGGAACATGTGACAGTTTCAAAATAAAATTAAGCCAAGAAATATATATTTCTAACAAGGAAAATTTGAATGTATTTGGGGTCCATTTGGTGGTTCAAAGATTCGTGCCAAACAAGATAATAGTTTGGAATTTTATCAATACTGTTCATAGTAATAGGTCTTCATAAAATGGTGTATACCTTCCAATCTAAGAAGAGTTTCAAAATAGTTTCTTCATGAAAATTTTACTCCATTCAAAGATCTTTCAAATGGCTGTGGTTTGGCTGAAAATAAACTTTTTTTTCTTAGATAAAATGAATGACCACAGTGGTATTAGTGAAAAATCCCGGAAAACTCTCAACAATGACATACCCTTTCACTTTGAAATATAACTTCATTTCCATTAATAATTTCAGTGGCGGCAAAAAACAAACATTTTACTAGACTCTCATATCTTTCCAATGGCGATGATTTGAGGTCAATCAGACCTTGTTTTATAGTTCATAAGTCTCTTTTAAGAACACAAATATTTCTGAAATTTCACAGTAGCATATGACATGTTTCAAGAGCACATTCCATAACCTTGATTCCATGGTAAAGGACATGATAACAACCATCCTCTTACAATGTAAGCACATAACATGCATTTCTTACGTAATCTAAGAATCATACATTCATTCTTAGCATCCACTTTCATTATAAAACAAAAACCTCAAGTTTTAGTGAACAAGGCGTAAAGAATTTCTACCTCACTCACACATTCATTACTCATCTCACAAGCACAAAGCTCATGCATCCTTATGACTATAATACAATGGTTATGGATCCACTTACGTAAACAATAATGGTTCCTTCTCCAATCCCCTTCTCACAGCTCTCACCCACCCAACAATGGCTGCCCTCCAACAGTCACTTCTTCAAACCTTGTGTCTTAGAGAGAGAGAAAGAGATGAAGTAAGAACGAGTGGTGTGGGTGAGAGAAGATGCTTAAGTACTCTTGTTTTTGAGGTGCTGACCAAGTGTCACCAAGAGGCCCAAAAATCTTGACAAGTGGCTCTCAAATCAGCATGCATTTAACAAGTGGCACTCATAATCCATGCATGTCAGAAACACAGCCGGCGCTGGTCTCTTTACAGCCAACACTGCACACTCAACACAGCCGGCGCTGCACACAACACAGCCGGTAATGAACACTCAACACAGCTGGCGCTGGTCTCTTTACAGCCGACACTGCACACAGCACAGTCGGTGCTACACACTCAACACAGCCGGTGTTGGTCTCTTCACAGCTGGTGCTGCACACAACACAGCCGACGCTGCACACTCAACACAGCTGGTGCTGGTCTCTTCATAGCTGGCACTGCACACAACATAGCCGATGCTGCACACTCAACAAAGCGGCACTAGTCTCATCACAACTGATGCTGCACTCGACACAGCCAACGCTGCACACTCAACACAAGCGGTGCTGGTCTCTTCACTATCCTTCCTTCCTCCTTATCCCTACATGTCCACTAATTGATCGGGAAAAATCTTGGTCATCACAGCCTCACTCTTGGATTCTCACGTGTAGGTCACCCTTGCGCAAGACGGCAGCTTCCCAACAGTGGCAGTGCAAAGCTCACGCTAAGCGCTAGAGAGAAAACGTTTGAAGGGAAAGAAAGGGAAGGCACATGGCGGTAGGGAAGGGCGTGATTTATAGATGTGTGGGTAAGTAAGATTCACAGTGGCTGACGCCGCGGTAGGTGGAGAAAAGGACTGTGGCTGGGGTCACTCACGTAGCACTGGCAGGTCCGGCACAGCACTTACACCGTTGACGGCTGCACCGTTGACCAACGCACACGACGTTACTCCAGGCGGCGACGCTCCTGATGGCGACACCCTTGTGGCGATGCTTCAGGTGGCTAGATGCTCGGCGACGCACCAGACGATGATACCCCAAGTCAATGCGTGGTGTTACCCTCTTGTCACACATGGCGATGCTCACATTCATGCAGCGCTTGGCGTTACATCTCCTACCTTTCACGTGCGGCGTTAGCCCAAGCGACGTTACTCTAAATGGTCATGCTAAGGCTTCTCTGCTCTCACTCCAATTCTCAGACAGCGCTACCTCACGATGTGCACGATGTTACTCCTTACGCTCATGGTGATGCCTCCATTTGGCCTACGCACGGTGTTAACCCGCCTCTTTTCACCTCCTCTTTACCACGGACAACGATAAGTTCAATCACGCAGTCGGCGTTGCCCAAGCTCAAGCACGGCGGTGTCTCCTTATGCACACGACATCAATCCTTATACCCCCTTGCTTGCACGCAGCATTGCCTCCATGTTACATGGGTGGCACTAGGCCAAATCATATGGACAACGCTATCTTCGCCCTCAGCGCTGGGTGTGCGCTTCCGTCTCTTTCGACTTCCTTCTCTCTACTGCCGCAAGTGATCAAGCTCAATAGAATTGTGGCCCTTGCAAGATGGCGGCGAGCAAATGGTGGCGAGCCCATTACACTCGCAACATTGACATCATTCTCGCACGGCGATGGCCTGAGTCACGCACGTCATTGGCCATCATTCTCTTTCTTCCACATGCGGCTCTAGGTCTCTGCGACGACCTCTTTTGTGGTGCGCACCTCTTGACTAGTAAAACTTGGGGTCCTTACAACGCTACTTGGGACCCGTGAATTGATTTGGTTTGTAATAGAAGGACATTTCCGTCCAAAAAATAACAACTTTTTACCTAGGGGGTTTTACGAGGAAAAGTTGTTTTGGGGAAAAA